TATTCAAATAATTAATATATATTATATACATTACATAAAAATATATATTACAATTTTAAATTACATTTAAATGAGTTAAATGTAAATTAAGATATATGATTTAGTTAAAATATTTAATCCAATTTTCATAGTTATCCATCCAATTCGGTGAAAATTTTATTCTTCTCAACTCATTATAGGGATCAACATCGACTTCCAATAGGCCGTCTCTGACTGCCGATTGCCAATTCTTGAGCTTAGGCCTAATCTAAAGACTAGAGCCCTTTCAACCCATTAGGACTGGTTGAGAGCTTATCAAGTCCAACAATAACAATAAAACCCCAAAGAATTAAATAGTATTATAATATTCTAAATGCAAACAAAATAGCACATAAATTTTACCAAAATTATCACTTGATCCCAATAAAATAGTATATTAAAAAATTATTTCGTTTCCGCAAACGATGAATAATCTAAAAATAGAAGAACTTCTCTTTCCAATCTAATAAGATCTAAATTTGAATTTAAATTTTTAATAAAAAGTTATTTTTAAAAAACATAACTATCTTCCTATAATCTTACCATTTCATATTATTAGAAGAAAAAGAAAAAGAAAAATCGTAGAACTGAAGGCGTTAAGACTTTTGGTTGTAGCATCATAATGACACAAACCCCAGAACAGTTGACACCAAAGAAATCAGTGCTGCCGAGTTCGTATGTGAAAACGAGGAAACCCGCAAGCGTGGGAAGATTATGTAAAGCTGCAAAACGGGTTCACGACTTGTCTGCCATGGAAGGCGACAATGGTGCATTGAGGCTCGGCGTGGCTGAAAAGAAAGCTTTTGTTGATGTGAAGAATGTTGTTCGTGTTGTCTACAACATTTTCAAGTCTGTTAATTGCGCTTCGATTAACAAGGAAGAGCTCGTGCACAAGATTATGATGAGTAGTCCTGATATTACTGAGAGAAGTATGTATGATTTTGTTAATTTGTTTTGAAATTTTGCTTTACTTGTACTTGTTTCCTTGCAGGTGAAGTGGAAGAGCAAATTGAGCAGCTCCATGAGTTGGTTCCCAATTGGATCTCCAAGAACTTGACACCTAGTGGGGATGTTACTTTTAGGTCAGTCATTCCGAGTATCTTTTATTATCTTTATATATATATATATATATATATATATATATATATATATATATATATATATATATATATCGAGAGAACTCGGTTGGTACGAAGCTTTTTGAATAAACATAAAAACGAAGTACTTTATGATCAGAGTCGACAATATCATATAATTATCTAGGTTTGTTGTTGTTAACATGTTACTAGAGTCATGTCCTTATCTAACTTAGTCATATCAATAGAATTTTCAAGTGCCTATAGAAGGAGTTGAGTTTCAACTAAGGGGAGACTGTTCGAGGGCTTTAGAGAATCGAGAATCAGGTCTTAGGGAAGGCTCTATATTGTATTTTATTTGAAGGGAGAATGGTTGGAGTCCCACTTTGACAAATTAAGGGAAAAATAGGAGTAAACAAGTAAAGAAACTCGTACGAATTCATTTAAGGAAACCAAAAACGTCTTAACACAAATGTCTGATAGAACATTTTTTTTTTCTTTTTGTTCATCGAAAATAAGGGGTTTGAGTCATCTTTTAAGTCAAAACCTACATTGAACCCATATGTAAACTGAATGTGTGACAAACCGATAACCAAAACGACCAAAACCAAATAAAATAGCCAAAAGAATGACGAAATCTTACTCAAAACCGAACCCACGAACGATTTTGAACTTAGAAAACTTAAACGATGAATGAAGGAGTATATCTTTAAGGAGACATTGGATGACTCCCTCAATGTCTATATAACTAGATGTGACCCCATGAATGCACTTCTTTTAATGCTAACAACACTGTCACTCGGTGCAGCATTGACCCGATGGAAGACTTGGAACCGGTAGTGGCAAGGACTGCTCGCATTTGAGAAGCTGTCAAAGGTCACCACATCGTCTTGCTTGTTAGATTACATCTGTAGACGACGCTAATTGCAGTGCCCTTTAGAAGCTATTAAGGCATCCTGTTTTTAGGCAGCATGCTACTTTATCATTTATGTTTGTCTGCTCGTTATTATATGTATATCTATATGATATTGGTCGCACTTTTATTTTCACCGAGTAAAACTAGACGCTTCAAACTTTCTAACCGTCCAAGTCCACACCCTTATTATGTTTCATTCATTTCTCCAATCAATGTGAGAATTCATAATCCACCTTCTTGAGGCCAACGTCCTCGTTTGCACACTCTGGTGCATGACTTTTATACAATTTCTAATAGCCCAAACTCATCGTTAATATTGTCATTAACAAATTATAGTATTTTATTCAAATAAATAATGTTTAATCAAACATCAACAATGATCTTATCTTAACTATTAAATAAGAATTTGAAATAAAAATAAAAATTTTATATTTCATTTTTTCAAGTAGAAATATGGATTTTTTAAAATAATAAAGAAAAAGTCGGAAATTTTATCCATTTAAAACGTAGAGAAGAAGGAAACCCCTTGATGTTTCAAAGTCTTGACCATTCCCAATATTCAAATTTATATCATTAAAGTATAAAATACAATCACATGAATTGCCAATAGTTTGAATTTAAAAACTTATCTCTATGAACGAATCCGACGTGGTCATCCTTAGAACATGATAGACTAAAAAATATTTTGAGTGTTCATTTTGATATAAATTGTTGAATAATTTTAATACTGTTGGCTCTAGTCAAATTTTGATTATTCAATGTGGATCTCTAGATTTCTTAAAAAACAAGTAGTTATTTTTTTTTTAGTTAAATTATAAATTTATTCAACGTTTTCTCTATTTAATTTAAATTTTTTAATATTATAAATTTAATTTTTTAATTATGTAATTTTTAAAAATTATAATCGAGAAATTAAAGAGTTGTTAAATTCAAAACCTTTAAATTTTATAAATTAAATTTAATATTTTAATAGTTTGCAAATGAATAATAACGAAAATCTACTCACTATTGAGAAAATATTTTCATTTATTCTAAAAACGATTGAACATTTTTACTAAAATAAAATAAGTGTATATATATTTTTAATTTATAATAATCCTTTTCTAATTTCATTTTTTATAAATTCAATTTGAGGAATTATTTGTTATTAATCACATACTCATGTTATTATCTATTTTAAATATAAACTCTCAGAAAATAATATTTTTTATAAATTAATAAGAAAATAATGCATTAAAGAGATAAAACAATGAGCAGCTTCGAGTCTCTACTTTCCTATAAATACAAACCTTTCCCAGTCTCATTCATACACCGTAAAAGGAAAAAAAATGAAGAATTTCGCGTTACTGTCTTTTCTTTTCATTCTCCTTGCCTCTGAGGTCCGCGTCTCCAGAGCCGACGCCTCGCCGGACGCCGTCCGCGACATCGACGGCAAGAAGCTCCGAGCCGGCGTCAACTACTACATCCTCCCTGTTTTCCGCGGAAGAGGCGGCGGCCTAGCCCTAGGCAACCTCCAATCGGACAAATGTCCACTCAACGTCGTTCAAGAACAGTTTGAATTAATGAACGGCCTTCCCGCGGCATTTTTGCCTGTAAACCCTAAAAAAGGCGTCGTTCGAGTTTCGACGGATTTAAACGTCCAATTCGAGGCCAGTACGATCTGCGCCACATCGACGGTATGGAAATTGGACAAATTCGACGAATCGACGAAACAGTGGTTCATCACGATCGGCGGAACGAGAGGAAATCCAGGCGTCAAGACGGTCGACAATTGGTTCAAAATTGAGAAACACGGTAACGATTACAAGTTCAAATTCTGTCCGACTGTGTGCGATTTCTGTAAAGTTATGTGCAGAGATGTTGGAATCTTCTTCAAGAATGGAAAGAGGGCTCTGGCTTTGAGCGATACGCCATTCCCTGTCATGTTCAAGGAAGTTTAATTGGAAGCTGGAAGAGATCTCCAGTGTGTAATAGTCACGAGTTTGTGAAGTAATATTGTCATATGTCATAACAGTGTTTATCTAAATAAAATATTTTGTATTTTATTTACCTTTTGAAGAATAATAATTTCCTTCATAATGTATTTTAATTTAGTTTCCCATTAAATATAGTTTTTCCGCCCTTTATCAAAGTCAAAGCATATTTCCTTAATTGAAAAGTCAAACTTTTATTTCAATTACTTTAATTTTAAAAATTCTCCGTTTCCATTAAAAAAATTTAGTTTTTAGGTAAATTCCAATTTTGTTGGTAAATTAATATGTAATTGCTCTAATTTCACTATAATGATAAAAGCAAATGTATTATTTAATAAAAGTAAAATGAGTGTTTAATTAATTTATCAGTTGAATTTTCCAATAGATATCATATCTTTAAATCTCATTTTTAAATTCTCAATTTTATGTTGAATAAATTAAAAAAATTTAAATTATTTTAATAAATCTTTTTCAATAATTCATTATTTTTTTTATATTTATATTTAATACATCTCTGAACTAGTTAACGTATTTTTTAAAATTCACACCTCTATTAAATATAAAATTAAAATTTGATTGTTCATAGATAAAATATTATTATTATTAAATGAATATATCATAAATCTATTAAAACCTCATTTCAATAATTTCTTATTCTATTCGCATTTGTGTGATTTTTGTTTATTTATTTTATTTATTTAAACAATATTATTCTTATCCCACAGTGATAATAATGGTACAAACTTGATTGTTTCAAAATAATAATAATAATACAAAATTTGATATATTGTATTTTAGAAAAATCAATATTTTATTCACATCTTTTTATAAAATTAGATCCAAAGATGAGAATGATTTGAAATTCTTATTTAGAATTTATATCATTAAAAATATAATTTTTTAATGAATGCTTAAATGAAAAGAAAAGTACTATTTTACCATTATACCCTCATATATACAAATCAAAATTTTGTTATATATTTATAGTAAAATAATAATAATAATAATAATAATAAAACACCCTACACGTCTGCCGCTTTCTCTCCCCGCCCCTTTTAATTTTTCTTCGATTTTCCCTCGCCCATCACTGTAATCACCGCCAAAGCCCTACGCGACTCCGATTTCTCTCTCTGCCCTCGTATCTCCCTCGCAGTGGCAGGTACACGCGAACTGTTTCTTTTCTCTTATCTCCCTCTGCCGTCGCTTGTCGCCGGTCGCTGGCACACCCTCACCCCCACTTTACTTTCTTCTCATCATTCTATCTGTAATTGCCTCTTACTTTTGGCATAAGTTTGCAATAATTTATTTCGCAGGAAGATTTTTGAAGTTTGACTCATGGATCCTCAACCTGAACCAGTCAGTTACATCTGTGGAGGTAAACTTGTTGTGTTTACTGAGTCCATTATTCAAAATCTCCCGAGTATTTAGGTTTTTAAGTTCTGTTATCGGATGCATCTATTAATCATGATCAAGTTACTTCGACTATATTAAGACATCGGGAATTTAGAAGTTTGTTGATTCGAGTTTAGATTTAAAATACTAGCCCTAAATTTTCACCTGCTTAACTATGTTTTGGATCTTAAGAACTGTAAAATCTATGTAGATTGTGGAATGGAGAACACTCTGAAGCAAGGTGATGTCATACAATGCCGAGAGTGTGGTTATCGTATTCTCTACAAGAAGCGTACCCGTCGCAGTAAGATATAATTCTACTGTTTTTTTTTTTTTTTTAAATCATGAATATGTCGTCTCTAAATATGATATTTCCTCTTAAGGATGTTTGGATTTTCAATTCTCGTCCAAGGAGACGTTTCAGATTTTCATATGACTAACTAAAAATTTATTTGAAATAAGACATGGGCTTTTCATTTAATCGTAGAGTACAAAATAGCCATTGGGTTGAGCAAACCTCCTAGTTCCGTAAATTTTAACAATTTCCAACCATGGATACAATGATTTTCCTCATTAAGCGGAAAAGAAACTGAATGAACTCTTGAGTAGATATTGAAGTAAAACAAGTCAGTTGAACTCTGGGACTGGTAGCTTTGGCCGGCTTTGTACTTAGTTGGTCTAGTTCTAAAGTTGATTTCATTGCATTTGGGCCCGCTTGTTTGAGTACTCTGTATGAGCTGAGTGATCAGCTATGTTTTCACTTCTTTGTATCTGTTTTGAATTCCTTTTGAGTTTATCACACTCTCATCCATTCTGATTCTCTGAATGCTTTCTACCCTTTTCATAGTTCATTTGAAAATTCCAAAAAATGGATCATCTATAGGAATCGTGTTATTAACTCAGTTTGTTTTAAAGTTTATGGATTGCATGTATTTGCAACTATTGATTTTGTAGTGATTCAACTAATATATGTTAGAAATCACAAACCTCCACAATGGTATGATATTGTCCACTTTGAGCATAAGTTTTCATGGCTTTGCTTTTAGGCTTCCCCAAAAGGCCTCCTACCAATGGAGATAGTGTTCCTTACTTATAAACCCATGATCTTCCTCTTAATTAGCCAATGTGGGACTACACTTCTCAATAATCCTCAACAATATATTCAACGACGTGTTGCATTTGATCAGAACCTATTCTACTCAACCTTTGGGGATAATTGACAGGCAAAAGCATTTCTTGGAGTATGCTTGTTATCTTTTATGACTTGGGATGCTCTCTAATTACTAGTCTTGAGATTAAATGTAGATTCTCTCTTTATGGACGGGTTAAACCATCCATTTTAGTTATTGGAGCCCGTTCTCATAGTGTAGCTCTGTCACTGTTTTTGTTATGGGTTGATTTGATCTGGGTTGGTTTTTTGTATTGTCTTTGTAGTATATCCTTTGTTTTGCTCTATGAATGTTTGGTTTTTTTTCATTTAAATGAACATGCATCTCATATTACTTTCTTTGTCCTTGATATTTATCTGCTTCTTTCCAAATTTGAAATCTAATTCGGGTCTTGCCTATTACTGCAGTTGTTCAGTATGAGGCCCGCTGAAATGCTTATTCTGGCGTTGGACTTCTAGTATCATGAATATTTTGTAAGTCTTTCTTAGGAAAACAAAAACGAACTCGATATGGCCTAAGGACTTGCTGTAATGCATTATCCTCGTGAGATAAGTTCATGTCCTACTGGTAATATGAATGGTCAATTCTGCATACACTGGAAGGTTCACATTTGCATTTCCATATCAACATTTGATTCCTATTCCATTTGCCTTTCTTGTTAAATGAAGTTATTTTTACATTATTATTATTATTAGTTTATTCATGGAAAGTGTGAACATTTTTTTTAAGTATCTTATTGATTGTAATATGAGGTGGGAGTTCAAAAGCTGGAGATTTTTAAAGGAAAAGTAGAGATGCCAAAATTTGCACAATCAATCAATCAATCATTGAGTTATGCTTACGTTCATTTTTTAAGATTCTAACCATTCAATCATAGATTCAACATTTGAAATAATAATCAGAACACAGTTTTTTTTTTTTTTTTTTTTTTTTTTTTTTTTTTTTACTAATTAGTGTCTCATTCTTTTAATTATATTTGAATTAAGTGGACCTTTCCCTACCAAACTAATAATTGACGAGAATGGTATTTGAAACACTGTTTTAGTTCTTTGGACCTTGATTTTGGTTAATTGAATATTCAATTTAGGAATTAAGCATCTATGGGTCTATTTGATTTGGTTATTTTGTTCAATTTTGGTCTATTTAATTTGTTTTCATCTGGATTTTTTTGTCAAACGGTTCGTTTCAAAGTTCTATAAACTCCGGTTCGAGTTTTATTTTTATTTATTTATTTTTACATAATTAATATGTGTTACGCGTGGAATTTAATTCGAAAATAGTAAAAATTGGTTGATTCCTCCACTAGATTATTGGCACTCACCATGCGGAGGATATTAGTGGATCGCACCCAACTCTATGCAACAATGGGGTCCACTTGCCTTCCCACTTTTTCAGCCTACTTATCCCCATTGCCAATTATTGGTCTACGTGTCAACTTGTTGTTTGTATTTTCTTTTTATTTTATTATATGCCTAAAATCAGAGCTATTTTAGAGTCTTGATAGGTAAAAAAAAAAAAAAAAGAAGAAAAAACCAGAAATTTAATATTTTGGTCAATTTTATATCTTAACCCATTAAATTAATATATTTTAGGTTTGTACTTAAGTGAGCAATGTAATTGATAAATGTTTAATTATAATATATAGAGTGAGAGGAAAAAAGTTGACGTGTTTACTATCTCATGTGATAAGATAATTATCCTAAATTTTAAAAATAAAAAATAAAATTAAATGTCGTACACGTATTTTTTTTTTAATTCATTCTTAATTTTTAGGGAATAGTACACAAAATTTATATCTCTGCCTAATTTGCATTTTTAAAAGCATAAATTGCTGGCTGTTCTAAAAGAAAGAAAGAAACAAAAATGAAAGCTGACTTCTTAACCACCCTTCACATATTAGACTTCCTATGATAAAATATTATGAAAGCTTACTTGTCAACGTTCACGTTGGCATCACGAAATATCATTGAGATTTAATAATTCTCAATTGGCATGGTACCAACTTGAGTTGTCTCGGTAAGCATTTTAAGTATATAAATCATTAGGTAAGCCTCGCATCATTGAGACTCAATAATTCTTAGTTGGCATGGTGAGCTTGAGTTGTCTCGGTAAGCATTTTGTGTATAAATCATTAGGTACGTCCTGATAAAGTATTATAAGTGTGTCAATTCAAGTCCACCACTAGCGTTTTTTTTTGGGCTTTCCCTTTCAAGGCTTCCCCTCAAGGTTTTTAAAACGCGTCTGCTAGAGAGAGGTTTACACACTCATATAGAGAATGCTTTGTTCCCTTTTCCAACTGATATAAAATCTCACAATCCACCTCCTTTCAAACCCCAACGTCCTCGCTGACACTAATTCCCTCTCTTCAATCGATGTGGATCTCACAATCCACCCATTCCTTCAGAACCCAGCGTCCTCGTTGACACTCATTCCTCTCTCCAATCGATGTAAGATCTCACAATAAACCTTTTATTGAACCCAATGAAAAAGTTCAAACTCGTTCCAATGAATCATAAATTGATGTAGAAGCATAAAATATGTTCGTCGAGAATCAAGATAATGAAACGAGATGTAATATTGTGTTGGAAGAACTTTAGCTTAGAGTAGAGGCTAGGTTGAATTTTAGGACCCGACCTAAAGTAAAAGCAAAGTAGCTAAAGTCACCAATGAAGAAATAGACACGTGCATTGGATGTGTATGGTCAAGTAAAGCTGCAAACTTTCTTGAGAATGAAAGAACTTTGTCCAGTACATTTATAGTTCTTAAAAAAACCTAAACTATTTGGTATATTTAATCTTAAATTAAATTAAATTAATTTGATAATTTAAAAAGAAAAGGAAATACAGAACCCAATCTTATAGCATAGGCGAAGCAGTAATCCGAGAGTGAAATAATTGGAGACGTGAGGGAATTTCCACGGCCCAAGTTGGCGACTCCCATCACTGTCGACATCATGATTCCGCCCCAAATCGCCGACTTGGAAGTCAATCGGAGAGTAATTTGGGCTATTCTTTTGTCTCGTCCCCAACAAATTTCCATCCACGTATCAAATGATAGCAACATTCCCAATATTTATGCGGTTCCAATGAATTCCGCTTCTTTGGTTCAGTTCATCGGAAGTTCAGTTTCCAGTTCTGATTCTAGCCTCAAGGTCGTCGATAACGAGACACTATGGAGGAGAAAGGAGTGGATGATCGTGTAGTGAAGCGTTTGGATTCCGAACGCAGTTCAAATTCGATGAACAGGCAGAGATTTGGGGAAGTGAGTGGAGTGCTATCCATCGAGGAGTTCTTTGAGGACCAAGAAGTGCCTCCATGGAGGAAGCAGCTGACGTTTAGAGCTTTTTTCGTTAGTTTTTGGCTGAGCATTTTGTTCAGCTTCATTGTAATGAAGCTCAACCTGACCACTGGTATTATACCTTCACTCAATGTATCTGCTGGTCTATTAGGTTTCTTCTTTGTCAAGTCATGGACGAAATTTTTGGAGAGATCAGGCCTCTTGAGGCAGCCTTTCACCAGGCAGGAGAACACTGTCATCCAAACCTGTGTTGTTGCCTCGTCTGGCATCGCTTTCAGCGGTTTGTCCCTTAACCATTTCATTCACTGGTTGTAGATTCTTGTGCACGCTTAATTTAGACGGGAATACTAACTTCGATTTCAAGTTTTCATTATTGTTCCTTTTTTCCCCTGGTTGGTTTGCTGTCGCGTGTTATTGGCGCAGATTTTTGCGAGTTTCTGTGCTCAAATCTGTGCCATAATCGTGATTGCTTTAATTCTTTTATATGGAATTTTGATAACTGCGATTGCTCTGCGATTTGTCTGTCAAACCTTTTTTGGGCGAATCATTGCCGGTTGCTTGTAATTAACTTCATATATTTATTTTTGTGCTTGTGGCCTTGCTTTTGTTAATGGTTTCTTCTAATGGAAATAGGTGCACTTGCATAACCTACAAACAACGAGATAACTTTTGTTCCAATAAAAATAAGATTGTATCTCTTCTGACAAAATTGTTAGTAGAACACCGTCTTACAATATACATTTTGTAGAAGTTATAGACAAAGATGGTCTTTGACCATACCTTTGAAGCTCAGCTATCTGTGGTACAGTTTTTCCTTGGCCTTCCATCACCATGAGCGATGCATTCTAACATCCATCTTTCAATTGAAGAAAAGATTTTCTTATTTGCCCAGAAGTCTATGAACACTTCATGACTACTCTGCTCTGAGAAATGAAAAAAGAAACCAGTTTTCTTAGGCTATTTTTACACCAAGCTTTCAAGTAAACTTCTATTTGAGACTGATAATTGTTTCTGGTGTGGGAGAATCCAAATGGATTATTATTCCACATCATTGGAAATTATAATTCCTGAATTCTGTCAGACTAAATTGTACTCTTTGATTATTTCAATTGACAGGAGGTTTTGGAAGTTACTTATTTGGAATGAGCGAACGGATTGCTCATAGATCATCCGGCAGTAAAGATTTCAAAGATCCATCATTAGGATGGATTATTGGTTTTCTATTTGTTGTTAGCTTTCTTGGCCTCTTCTCAGTTGTACCCTTGCGAAAGGTATGATACCTTGTTGCAAGTTGCAACAAATATTTTCAGCTTCTTACAACTAAGGCTAAGTGGGGTTTATCAAAAATAAGCTATGAAACTTCAATGCAACAGAAATTAATGTGAAGAAATTAGCATACGAACAACTGCAACGTTATGCACGGTGAAGGAACTTTCAAAGGAAATTATATCACACAAGATACCTAAATTCCTTCATATAGGGCTTCTATGAATGTTCTTTCTATGGAGGAGATTGTTTTGTTCCTAGATTCTAGATGATAATTTGGTGATATATAAACATTGTAACTATTCCTCTAGGATTCAACCTGATTGGAATGTTCCTTTTTTCTTTTGTTCCTCTTTCTTCTAGATGTTCTATATAGTGGTTGAGTGGATTTGGATAGGCATTTCCTTTCTCCTCCTGTACTCCTTTTTAAGTGGATTGTTTCTTACTCAAAAGATAGAAAAAGAACTAGATATTCATGTTCCATTTAACAAGTTGATGTTGCAATACTTGTTGACTTGAAATTATTCATTATTATCTTGATCACTTTGTCCTGGAATGAATTGCAGATCATGGTCGTTGACTTCAAATTAACTTATCCAAGTGGTACTGCAACTGCTCATTTGATTAATAGTTTCCATACTCCCCGAGGAGCTGCACTAGCAAAGTAATGTGTTATCATATATAATTAATTATAATGATACTCATATGAAAGCCGTTCTAATATCTACCTTTTTTTGTGCCTGATCTTGTAGGAAACAGGTGAGAATGCTTGGCAGGTTTTTCTCTTTGAGCTTCTTGTGGGGCTTTTTTCAATGGTTCTTTCAAGCTGCAGATGGTTGTGGATTTGCACATTTTCCAACATTTGGGCTCCAAGCACGTGCAAACAGGTATTATATAGCTATAATTCCTTCACCTGGATTGTTTGACTAATCCTTCTATTGCTTCAATGAACTCGATTGCTATATCATTTACACATTCCTTTTACGTCGAGATTTGAAGATTTGAAGTTTTTAAATGTAAAATATATTGTTGCAATTTCAAGACATTGTCATGTGGGTCACTGTGTTTTTTGTGGTTAATTATGTAGGTTTTACTTTGACTTCTCAGCAACATATATTGGAGTTGGAATGATTTGCCCCCACATAATAAATGTATCGGTGCTTGTTGGAGGAATTATCTCTTGGGGCATAATGTGGCCTCTCATAGAAAATAAAAAGGGTCAATGGTTTAGTGAGAAATTGAGCTCAGATGACCTTAGTGGTCTTGAAGGTTACAAGGTGATCTTCCATCTTAAACAAGCATTCTATTTTCTCCCCCCCCCCCAAAAAAAAAAAAAAAATCTCTTTAAAGGAACTTATTTTTGACATTGACCTCAGGTATTTATAGCAATAGCCATAATTCTTGGTGATGGCCTATACAACTTCTTCAAAGTATTGACTCGGACCCTCTCCGGTTTGTTCAGCCAACTTCAACACAAAAGAGAGGCTGAAGATTTTTCCTTGGGAAATTCATCAAGGTCTGAGTTTTCTTATGATGATGAACGAAGGAAACAACTTTTTCTCAAGGATCAAATACCAATCTGGTTTGCCATTGGAGGCTATGTTGTAATTGCTGCAGTGTCGATTAACACTCTTCCACACATCTTTTCCCAGCTGAAATGGTATTATATTTTGGTCATCTACGTCTTTGCTCCTATCTTGGCCTTCTGTAATGCATATGGATGTGGACTCACGGATTGGTCTCTAGCGTCTACTTATGGAAAGCTTGCCATTTTCACAATTGGTGCCTGGGCTGGGCCTTTGCATGGAGGAGTTATTGCTGGTCTAGCAGCGTGTGGGGTTATGATGAATATTGTCTCCACAGCGTCCGACTTAATGCAGGATTTCAAGACCGGCTATCTAACCTTAGCTTCACCCCGCTCCATGTTTGTCAGCCAAGTAGTAGGCACAACAATGGGCTGCATTATTTCCCCTTGTGTCTTTTGGCTCTTCTACAAGGCATTTGATGATCTTGGTCTTCGAACTGGTCAATACCCTGCCCCGAATGCGGTTCTTTTTCGCAACATGTCTGTGTTGGGTGTTGAAGGCCTCTCAAGTCTACCAAAGAATTGTCTTACCTTCTGTTATGTGTTTTTCGCCACCGCCATTTTGGTTAACTTGATTAAAGACTTGATACCAAAAAAGTGGGCAAGGTTCATTCCCTTACCTATGGCAATGGCATTGCCATTCTACTTAGGGCCATACTTTGCAATTGATATGAGCCTTGGAAGCTTGATATTGTTTGTGTGGCAGAAGCTAAACAAAACCAAGGCCGATGCATTTGGTCCAGCCGTAGCATCCGGTTTGATATGTGGGGATGGGATTTGGATGTTGCCTTATTCAATTTTGGCATTGGCGGAAGTCAAGCCACCAATTTGCATGAAGTTCCTATCAAGGGCAACCAACGCAAGAGTAGATAAGTTCCTAGGATCGTAGCTCTGAAATTATGTGTTATTCTTCGAATTTATCTGTGGCTTTGTCCTCGCTAAATACATCTATGGGCTTAATTATCTCAACCCCTCCCCTCTCCTTTTGGTTTCTTTATGTTGTAGAAGGGCCTCCTATTTTGGTTTCCATGGGAGCAGAGATCCAGGTTTTATTCTGTTGTATAGCTAAGCAATTGTGTGAGATTTGTATAATGTATTTATGCTAAAAAAAAGTAAATAATAAAGGTTAAATCATTTGTGTACCTGATAAATTTTCAACTTGGGTAAAATCTGATGAAAAAAAAAAACCTAGGTTAAATTATATATATATGAAATCCTTTTTAACCTTTTCTTTTACTTAAAAAACATATTATTCATGATCTTTCGTAGCATTTTAAAATTACTATTAAAGTACTAAGTTCTTTTAACTCTTGGATGAAAATTGAGATTTAAAATGTTGAGTTCAATAAGTTATGAGAGAATTCGAACCTCTAACATATGGCTTAATCGATAAGATTGTAGAATACTTTCAACTTTTAAGTTGCAAATTTGGTCCAAGCCCCTATGAAATGTGTACAGTTTTACATTGCCTAACTTTATGATAAAAACTTAACTTCAAGACTATTTTATGGTTAGTTTCTTTAATTTTAGTTACCGAGCAGCATCAAAGAAACTGGTAGAGCATGGCACTCTTTGAATACAATCCTTGCAATGCAATCCTAGCTGCTGTGGGTTACATTGTTAGAATGTAACCTCAACTTGTCCAATCTTCATCAGTGTCCTAAATGACAAGCAAAATTGTGAGCAAAACTGTGCAAGATCCCAATCTAATATTTATAAAAGAAACTAAAAGGAATATATTTTAGTTAAGCAATTCATTTGGCCCCTAAATAACAACTACCATTTTGAAGTTTAATTGCTAAATTAATCTAACATATTAATTTAACCACATGCATCTGAAACGTTCATGACAATGTTGCCACTTTTTGGTGATCATGATCAAGAACTACATTTTGGAATATGGAGACCTGTTTTGTTCATAACCTTACATGACATAAGTAGTTATTCAGTCAAGAAATGACAACTTTCCAACAAAGGTGATGGGATGCACGACAATGAGAAATTAATATAGGGTAAGGACTAAGCCAAATACTTTATAGTTAAAGAATGAAGTGAGCAATTGACTACATGTACTAAGTTCAGCCAAATATTTCCATCAGACTCCAAAATGAGTACAAACCTACGGCTCAGCCCAAACAAACTTCCAATCAAATATTCTAGAAATCACGGTAGAAGTAGGTAGTTCATATAATAGGTACTGAACACTCACCTCTTGAGAGCTCAACAACTCTTCGATGTCATCTTCGTCCTACAAGATATAGACAAACCAGATTTAGTATACAATGACGTCTCACCCATCAACCATTTCATGCACACTCGATCGTGAATAGCAAATGGAAATAGACTACATGGAGTTGTGAATTCCGAGCCTATAAAATTTTAGAGACTTTGATTGTAACCTGATGAGACAAGTTTTCTAGAGCCTTAGACATGAGAAGGAATGGCTGGTTGAATTTGTTTGAAGGACGGCAAGTGCCAGCAACATAAAATTAAAGGCTTTTTGTTAGTTTCACCAAGAAAAAAACTAAAACTGAGCATTTTGAAACTACAAGTAATATTTGTGAAACCTTTCCACCAACAGCTAAGTTGATTAATATGAAGATACTTCTGGCTGACTTGTTCAGTTAGATAATAAATAAGAGAAGTATATCCACTCCTAGCTGGATTAGTGCACATAAGAAATCCTGAAGCTGATAAAGCAGCAAATGTTTTAAATGGACAATTTGCAAAAATGGCGCTAATACCTCATATTCTGTATCCTTCCTCCCGAATTTTCCTCCTGCAAATTGAAAGAGCTAATATGCATCAACTGACCATGTAAAACATACCATATCTAAGCCTGTTAGAGAAATAAGTGGCAGTAAATGGAGACAGCATGAGAGATTAACCATCATCTTGTCCCTGGACAACCCCCCTCTTCTTTAATCCTTCATCCTGAAAATTACACAAGAATCCATTACGGTCAATTCCTGGAGATATATATTATAATTTAAAAAATGAAGATTTATCACCTGGTCAATCTTTTGCTTTGAACCAGAGAGCTGCTTCTTTTGGGCAGAAACTGTAGAAAGCAAAATTTTCACATTTGATGTTGTTACTGTAGTATTCTCATGGTCATGATTATAAAATCAATGAACAAAATTAGAACCTTTGGGTGTTGAAGACCTCTTTGAACTTCTTGGTGTCCTCTGAAAACAGTAAGCATTCGTTTCAAATAAATGTGCCTTAAAGATATAAAGTTTATTATTATTCAGATAAGACATTTTTGGAGGAGTTTCAATTTCAGCACTTTGCTGGGTCATTTGGATGGAAAGAAACAATCATGTTTTAGAAAAATCTTGGAAAGTCAACTTTTTTTATTACCTTATTTTATTGATACTTTTTCTGCTAAAAAAAGAGTGTTATATCATATTCTGTCTTCCATCGAGACAATTAATTTAGGCAAAACTATGACGTCATATATTGAAAATTTCTAAAATTTTGGAGGCTCATATCTTCGCTCTGGAGACAGGATGACGTCAATTAATTCATGCTTCCATCTTTAATTATCAATATTTGCAGTCATGGGAGACAGGATGATTTTTTGGCATGCAACTGCAACACCCAAGTAAAAAAAGGGTATATGAATGAATAGAGATCACATCCGAATGATAGTGATCACGAGGATAAGGTGATTAAGAAAAGCTTAAAAGAATTGAAAGTTACCATCTATACAAATAATGTGCATCTTCCTTTTCGGTGACTAGACTCAATCGTAGGAACTCTATAGTTAAGTGTGCATGGAATTTTACTTTGAGCATTTCCTTTTGCATCAACAAAATAATTAGTAGTTATAATAAACTCCTAAATGTAGCAGTAAACAGATTCTAACCATCAATCTATTTCCGCATGTTGAGTAAAGGTTTTCAGATATTACCTTTTCCTCCACTTTCTTGAACAAACTTGGTAGAGTAGGCTGGACAAGTAAACCACGATTACCACTCTGAGCATTTCCTTTGGCCCGAGAACCATTTTTAGACTTAGAAATTGGTGTTTTATTTCCTTCAAGAAATCGAGGTCTTTCCACAGCATCTTTATCTTCAGAATCGACAGAGACAACTTCTGTCTGTATCAATCAATTAAGGGAGCGAACATACAGTAAAGCAGCAGACATAAATTTCAAGATTGAATCAACAAAAATAGAAAGCTGCAGAGATTGAAATAAGACAAACTACTCAATAATCATAAACAGGATATTTTCACTAGCATGATCTCCAATTGAAGGTTCATATATGACAATATTCTTTTCTTCTCCTTCAGAAAAATCAGCCAAAGTGCCAGCAGACTCCTCCTTAGAAAAAGCCTGTGCAAAACTAAAACACGAAAAGGAAATAAATTAAACAACATTACAAAAGGTAGACTCAACAATTAAGTTGGTTGTTTCATATTTGTACAGTCTTATAAGAATTATAAATCCAAACCAACGCACTGTATAGCAACTAACACCATCTAGCTGATGAAGTGAAAGAAACTGGAGTTCTGAATGGGCTTAAGGTAGTTCAACAAGACAAACACCTAGGATTAAAGCGGTGCTCACTCAAATTCGCTATGGTCGAAGAAGTAAAATAATTGGAAAAAATATTTAAACAGAGGAGCTGTTAGGAATATTAGTAACGAAACGAATGTGGACATCATGAAAAACAGGTTTAAAGTTACGAACTTTTAAAATCATAAACCAATTATGGACATCCAGCATAATATTCTACCATTCATAGTACTGACTGCTGATCAAATAAGCCAATTGATGCAAAATATTTATTTGACAAGAAACCTATTGCTTTTCTGCCTTATTGATAATTAGATAGCAATTACGTAGTAACAACATAAGCAAAGGATAATACTTGAATACTTTTCCGCCAGATCTTTCAGAATGTCTAACTGGCGTAGTCTTCATTGAATTTGTCATGTTGTCTTCCAGGTCCACTAAGTCATCTCCATGTTCTTCTTTAAGGGAATTTTCTTCGGCACGATCGATTCCCTTCTTTTGAACACTCTGCTTACTCGTACTGGCTACACCAGCACCACCGTTAAAGTCATATTCTCCACATTTTCCCTGACATATAACAGCTAGGAGTTAGCAAATTCTCTCTGTTTTTCTGTCTCTCAAAATAAACTTCAATTCAGAAAATGAAAGTACAACAGAAAGGCAGGAACAACAGCACCAGCCCCAAATAAAACAGTGCAGACTCGCAAAACAACCATACAAGAAGCTTCACATATAAGCTCTCCAGGAAAGCTACGGAAATGGAATTGATATAACTATTAAGAGAAATGAAAGAATATGGATCAAACACTAACAAGAGCAATGCAATGATATTGACCAGCCTGACGGATAACTTCAATATAAAAACATAATAAGGAAGTTAGAACCAGTAATATTAGGCTTCTTACAACAATAAAATCAGCTTCATGGAGGTTCCAAGAAGAGTTACAAATTAAAAAGCATGAAGAAATTAACTAAACGACTGTTTAAAAAAGTATCGACACTGCCCCGTTAAGTTTTTTCTTTCTTTTTGCTAAATGGGCACACAAGGAAATTAAAAAGTTCAGTCAACAAAAATTAGTCCTTTCACAGAATGAAATTATTATGCGACTCTCATAAGGGATGCATTCACATTATTCTGCTCCATTAATAATCTTCAGAAACGAGATGCATATGGAAATTTTACATGGGAAACGTAGAGGCACTCGAAAAACCAAAAAAAAAAAAAAATAAATTTAAGAACCTGAAAATTATCAAGAAACTTACCATAGTCATTTCTTTAGGAAAATCAAGACGGTCCTCCTCTGGATTTTCATCTTTTGTTCCAATCCACCATGCATCAGAAAAGACAATCTGCAGTCGGAGAAAAAACCGTTGAGTCGTAACAATTGTTCTTAATCTGAAGATAGTAAATAATGGCAGGGAACAAAAAATGATACAATCTGGCATTTACTTGAGGCATCGTTTGCCAAAAAACCAGGAGAACTTAACCTGGTTTTTTTCCTCTTCTTTTTCCTTGATTTTTGGTGGGGGGATGATTGTCCTTTCCACACTTTATTGGGCAAACATATCATTTTAGAAGAGATCTTGCTTGATGTCCGCAAGCTCTGGCCAATACTTGACTCATTGTCTGCTCAGACAAAGGCCTAATACTAACAGAAGCCTTGCACCTTAACATTTTAGGCACCATGCTTCATCGGAACTGTTTGACTTTATTTGTGTGATGCCATCTATATCGACTTCAATAACGAGATTAAGAAAAGAACTTCCCCATTGTGATTAGTGTATTCTCGGAAAAGTTATTAAAGGTAAAGATCCTAATTACTTAAAAGAGGGAAACTCACAATTTTATTTATATCAGCTCAAGCCCACCACTAGCATATATTGTCCTCTTTGGACTTTTCCTTTCGGTTATCCCACCAACCCTCCAAGGTTTTTAAAACGCATCTGCTAGAGAGAGGTTTCCACACCTTGATAAAGAATGTTTCGTTACCCTCTCCAATCGATGTGAGATCTCACATTATCGATATTCAAAACTATCTAAAAACAAAACCAAGAGAAAGGCCAATACATTAGATCTAGTCGAGCCCAACAATACAAGTCATGAGCGATAGCGAAGCCGGATCGGCTGGGGAAGGTTTGCGGTTCAGTCTTTCCTTTCAGTTTCAGGAGAAAGAGCCAAACACCTACTTGCATTGAATCTGAGGATTTTTGCCTTATCTTTGAAAGAAAAAACACAAAGATGCCAAAAAAAGGAGGGAAAAAAGGAAAAGCAAAAAGACCAACCATATTATCAAAACAATCTTCACACATCACATTCTTTCCGCCTCTAGAAAACTGCAAAGTCAAATATCTGTTCTTCGGATACACGATAGTTCCAAACAACTTTAGACGCCCCTGAAAAGCAAAAGAATTAGTACGGAGAACAACTCCACTTCGACATGCTTAATGACCACATAAAATTCCACATCAAAATAAGGCCATCAGAAGATGAAACGTAGGTATAGAAGAGACATGGGAAAAACATGGAGTGCTATATGGGATTGTCTATCATACTTGGGGGTGGATGGAGATGACAAACAAGTGCCAAATGCACAGGCAACAAGAACATATAAGTGTTAAACGTAGAGTAAATCATATTTATGTATAGTAAGATAATCTAGTGATTTACTAGATTGTTACCAAATCTATGATTTAGTAGTTTGTTACCAAATCTATGATTTACTGGTTTGTTACCAAATATATGATTTCATAGTTATTTGGTTTGTTACCAAATCTATGATTTCATAGTTTTGTTACCAAATCTATGATTTCATAGTTTGTTAACAAATCTATGATTTAGAATGTAATCTTCATTATACACATCTATAAATACATGAGATCGTGACCCTAGGTCAGGTCATTGAGCCATTCAACCTAACAATAAGAACGTGAAACAGGAGAAAAAGTTGAAGAAAACTGTAGGAACCTTTCAAAGCAGAGAAAAATAGAAAGATGTTTAGAGCAAAGAAGAAACAGACGAACCTGAGGAAAGTCGAGATAGAGAATGGGATTCTTGGTCCCCAAATCCTTGAGCTCGCCAATCTTGCCTCCACTAACGGGGGCGAGCAAGCCCGAAAACGAGAAGAGGAACCTGTTCTTTCGCTGAGATTTCTTGACAATGTCTTTGCCATGGTGCTTCAGAACCGTCGCTGAAGGGCTCAGATACGCCTGGGGCTTGGCCTGGGTTTCTGAAAGTATGTTATTCGTAAATGCAAGCTTCTTAAGCCGCTTTCGTGCTGCAATCTCAGGATCCATTTCTCCTTTTGCTTCGTCCCTCTTCGAAGACGATGATCCTCGCGCCATTTCTGATGCCGGTAGTCAGCTCTGGACTCCAGTTTACTATTCTTTCTTTTTTCCTTTTTATTTCAATTTTTCAAATTTTAATTTTTATATGGCGAAATTAGAACGAGCATAGTTGAAATATTTGTGATTTTTAAAAATATTTATCGTAATTTTTTTCTTTTTTTGGCCAAACATCGAAGATGGGCCTAAAATAGAAGGCCCAATTAGCCACAAAATGCGAGCTCAGAGAGCAAAACAATCCAAATCGTAAATACGGAACGGCCCATCTAAACCCAACCGGCGTAGAAAAACCAGAAAGGGACGCGAAGAAAGGCAGAGAAGAGGGAAATAGAAAAGGAAGAAAAGTAAAAAGAAAGCGGGAGAGGGGGCGAGTGAGAAGGAGGAAGCATAATTCTGGGTTCGTGATACTCGGAAGAAGGCTGCTGCGTCGAAAAGAGAAGCAAATCGAAGCTATACGATGGGTCGCCAAGCTGTTTCCAAGCTTATAGGATCGGCCATTAATCGCAAAATTTCTTCATCTTCATCATCAGCTGGGTTTTCGCGGGCGGCGTCGCAGATTCGGCATTACGCAGCTGCTCCTCCGCCTCCGCCGGCAGTTTTCGTTGATAAGAACACTCGCGTCATCTGTCAAGGGATCACTGGTAAAAACGGTACCTTTCATACAGAGCAGGCCATCGAGTATGGCACCAAAATGGTATATCTCTTGTTCAATGGTGTAGCGTGATGTCTTTTAATGTTGAGATTAATGTTATTCAGTTTTTAGAAAGATTTCCACATGTAATTTAATAGACTCTTGAAAGTTTTTGACCCCATAAATTTCCCGCTTTTCGTTCTCAGAAATGGTAAGGTATTATGAAATGATTGTCCTACGAATAGAAAAGTGTGATACTACTATATATTTGATCTGCAATTCAATTTTGTTATGGGAAAACACTGTACGTGACGGATCTGGCTTCATGCCGGACAGTGAGCTTACTCGTCATACAGGTTAGAAATGAACTGGGACCCAAAAATGGATGTGCCTTGTCATTTCTTAGCTGCACGTATTGGCTTGATTCTCGTGGCCTATGTGCAATGTTTTTGTCGCGTACTTGAGCTCATGGGATCTGGACTAACTGTCTTATTTTAGTGTACATTCAGTTGAAATTTCTTCCACTTTTATCTGCTTATCTATGCAGTATAATCTGACTTTTAAAGCCAGGCGTTCACAGTTTTCTTTGTTTATAGGTTCCCGAAATTCTGTTGATTCTTCTTGTTTTTCGAATGTATGTTGATAAAAGTGGAGACCACCAGTTCTTAAATCATGCTGTTTGTTGAGTTAGGTTGGTGGTGTTACGCCGAAGAAGGGTGGAACAGAACACTTGGGCCTTCCTGTTTTTAACACAGTTGCTGATGCTAAAGCTGAAACAAAGGCCAATGCATCAGTTATTTACGTCCCCCCGCCATTTGCTTCAGCAGCAATATTGGAGGCGATGGAAGCTGAGTTAGATCTCGTTGTTTGTATAACGGAAGGGATCCCACAGCATGACATGGTTAGTAAAAAAAAATAAAACTTGACTTAACCAAAATTTGTCCTGTTCCAGCTAACTGGCTTCAGTAGTGATTGGAAGTGTTTTATTGAAGTGTTTAAGTGTTTAGATTTTGCATTCCAAGTGAAAGTTATTGTGACAGATATATTACATGCATGTTGACTATTTGCACGGATCAAATCTATGGATGAGTTAGTTCATTCAGCCTCCTATTCAAAATGCTAAGAACGTATAATAAATATTAATTTCAGGTGCGAGTTAAGGCTGCTTTAAACAGGCAAACCAAAACTAGATTGATTGGCCCTAATTGCCCTGGCATTATCAAGCCTGGAGAATGTAAAATTGGAATTATGCCTGGATATATCCACAAACCTGGGCGCATTGGCATTGTGTCACGATCTGGTACCTTGACCTATGAGGCGGTGAGTTCTAATTTTTGTCATCTAAATCAAGCAATAGATTCACTCGTAACATTCTTTATTTAAGAAAAGTACTTGTTGAAAAGATCACATATGCTTATCAGGTACCACATTTTATTTTTATGATTTTTTCACATAGAAGACAAGAGCATGTTGAGCTGGTCTATGGGTATCAGCAAAACATGATACCTGCTCTTACCGTTGTGAAATTTCTCTACTCTTCTTTGTCCTTATTGATATTACACTAAGCTTACTGAAGTATACATCCGTTGTTGTTGCTGTTGTTGTTGTTGTTTTTTTTTTTTTTTTGTGGATGGGACTATGTCTCTCTTCTGTATTTTACTATTTTGATTTTTTAACTGTTTTTTAAGAATATTTCGATACCTCTAGTACTTTAATTTTAATTTTGCAATTTCTAATATGCCCTTTAGGTTTTTCAAACAACTGCCGTTGGCCTTGGACAATCCACATGCGTAGGTATTGGAGGGGATCCCTTTAATGGGACTAACTTTGTTGATTGCATCGAGAAGTTTCTCGCTGATCCTCAGACAGAAGGTAATTTGTGTTTCGATTTAGTGGTCTTTTATTCCAATTTTTGACTGCACGATTCTATTTGGGAAAAAAATTATGAATCCTGATGCACGGGGTATAATAAATATTTGCGTTATCTCTTTTAGTCTATCTAATGCAATTTTAATTTCTCTTATCGCCGTCCTCCTCAAGATTTTGGCCTGTAAGATCAGGTTTGTGTTTCTTATCCCATTGTAGGTTGATATTTCGGAAGTAAATGACCATGGTTTTATAAGTTTAGATATCCTTTTATTTGGAGTTAAGAGAATAGACTGGGAAGCTTGTGAATATTCAACAATGTAAAATGTTATGAATGGATGGTAATGAACTGGCTGGATTAGAGATGGAGAACAATGATAGTTATTATTTCTTTCCTCCGCTTGTTCTAGTTTGGCTCTGGTAAATATTAATAAAAAAAAGAAAGGGATATTGATCTCCAGAATCTGATATGATGCCTTGTGCATTTCAGGTATTGTTCTAATTGGAGAAATAGGTGGGACTGCTGAAGAAGATGCTGCTGCTTTGATAAAGGTTTTGTCCTTTTTTTATAATTGGTTTAGCTTTCTGAACATATTTTATATTCGTCACTCATCACTATCAAAAACTTGCAAGTCCATTGCTACTTTTATTGATTAGTTCTAGATTTGTTAAAATCCCCTTCAAAGGTGTTGCTGTAAAGTATCTCCTGAACTGTCTTACGCATATTTTATATTCAAGTTTTTTGTGACATTCCAGGAGTGACATGGATCATATGAGCTACACTTGAATAACATAGTACCTCGTCCAATGCTTAATTGCATTAAGGTTACTGCTGCGAAATCAAGACTTGCATTGGCTCTTAGTAGGACGTTTTGAATCAGATTATGTTTGCATTGGCTTCCTAAATGTGAGATCCCACATCGATTGGAAAGAGGAACGAGTGTTAGCGAGGATGCTGAGCTCCGAAGGGTGGTGGATTGTGAGATCCCACATCGGTTGGAGAGGGGAACGAAGTATTCTTTATAAGGGTGTGGAAACCTCTCTCTAGCAAGCATATTTTAAAACTTTGAGGGAAAGCTCGAAAGGGAAAACTCAAAGAGAATAATATCTGCTAGCAGTGGGCTTGGGGCCGTTACACTAAGATACTCACGTTTATCCTTGCTGCTATTACTTCTAATGTGAAAGTAAAATGAGCTAAATTTCCATTTTAAGTTGCAGTTTAGCTACAAATTTGATTCATATTGCTTTGTCTCTGTCGCTTGGAAGGATTAATGTGGTCATTGTAACTGATTATTCAAATGGATTAGAATTGCTGACTGAGTGATGTTACAGACTGCTACATATGTTCTACTTTTGAAGAGTTTATTGTGTCATAACAGGAAAGTGGGACTGAGAAGCCTATTGTTGCATTCATTGCTGGCCTAACTGCTCCTCCAGGCCGTCGCATGGGTCATGCTGGTGGTACGTAAACTTTTAGATTGATTAGTTCCCGATATGTTAACTCGTATACATAGTGTTTGTTTCGATTGTTTGCCTTCATTGCTGGCTAACCCTTCATATGTAATGGTTTCTCTCTAGTTTCTGCATACATTGTGTTGATAATAAAATGGTAATATTTCGTGGCATTTGGATTTTGCAGCCATTGTTTCAGGTGGAAAAGGTACAGCCCAAGACAAAATCAAGACTCTAAGAGAAGCTGGAGTAACAGTGGTGGAGTCACCTGCGAAAATTGGCGTTACGATGCTCGATGTTTTCAAACAGAGAGGCCTCGTTAGTTAAACTGAAAGCAACAGATTTCAGAGTTCCACATTTCCATGTTGGCACAAAACTTGGAGTTCCTACTTCCACCTAAAATGGTGTAAAATTTTCAATAAGGTACCCAACTTTTCGCTGTTGACATAGTTTTTGAGGCGTTCAATGTCTTGAGTTTTAGAGCCTCTAGCTGCTGGAGATTCATTTTAAAACTCACTTATAGAGATACTTTGTTTTAGATTCAATTTCTGTTCGATATCAAGTTATACCACCGACATCGTTTGACTCCTATTTGGATTTGTTCTGAATATATATATGTTAGATTCAAGTTGTATTATCAGGATTTGGCTTGAACTGGGGAGATTTATCGTTTCTCTCCAGTTTTTCGTTATGTAGTGTAAAAATCCAATTTATTAACTTCTTGGGACGGAATATTTTTAAATGAAGCAATGAAGGGATCTTGGTTCAAAATGCAAACTAGACACTGCAACGACTGCTAGCACCGTCGCAATGGGGTTCGATACAGTATGAAAAACGTGCTATTGATCACCCATGTTGTGGCAAGATTGTAGCTTGATGATATTCGTAACTTCCTGGGCTCTTAAGTTGAGAAATATAATTAATTGATTAAACAACTTGAAATGGATGAAATTACTGAGCTTAGTCGTGGTTTAGATCGGTAAATTTGTTATAATGTCCAAAACACATCGTATTGACTGATCAACCCTCGACCATATGGATATGTAAAAAATATATCCATATGAATCAAATGAAGTTGTTTTGTAATTTTATAAGTCATTATGTTTCCCCT